AACCTTTCTGTGTTCCAAGAGACCAAATAAAGGATACAACTTCCAATTTACGTAATTACCCCATCTGTTGTTCTAGACGACATTGTTGTATTGAAGCGCTCGTTTTTCAAATCCGTGATTTACTCCGCGAGTCACTCTTTCCAGCGTGTTTCTAGCGACTACCCTTATCCTAGCAAGGTCTGCGTCATTTGCTACAGTTCTGACCGGTTCTTTTAAAACTTCTCCGTCACCGACATCGGCAATCCATCCCGAAACTGAATCGTAGTTTTTGGGATAGAGAACCGTTTTCAACATTGTGTCTAACTCGCCGGGGTGTTTTATGGTCTCTATCGGATTTGAACCAGCTTCCAAAACCATTTCGCTGAATAAAGAAGTTGTTTTCTAAAGTCGTGTTGGTTTGTGGAATTCGATTCTGAGCGGCGTCTTTGATTTTGAAATCGCATCGGAAATGGGCATCCGAAAGCAGCAACCAATTGGACAACGAATTAATTTCAAAGGTAACTCTTCCTCCGTCATTTATTTGGGTCTTTGTCCCTACCGATGGTGAGATGATTACGTAATCCTCTTTCTTCTTGTTGAACGGATATTGAATCGGATCATACAATTGAAAGATTGGATCCAATCTGTAATTTTTGCTTGCCATTTTTTATCCAATGATTTTAAACCCTTTTCCTTGTTTTTCTAAGGCTTGTCGTTCTAGTCTCTTGTTTCTTAGTTCTCTTATTAACTGCTGTTCTTTAAGTTCGTCAGATCTTTTCACTGCGTCGCTTATATTTACTCCTGCTTTTGCCACAGATCCAAGAGCTTGCGCTTCTGACGAAATGAGGGATTTGTTGTTTAAGACAAAATTGGCCACTTTGGGGATGAGAGATGTTAGTGCAGAGAAGAAACCGTCTCCTTCGAATTTTTTTTGTTCGTGTTTTAAAATTAAAGACATTTTTAATGCGGTTATTTTTTACTGTATTATTATTAGTGATTCTTGTCTGTGGTTTGGGTAATTTATATGGAGTCTGTTATAATACAGTTTGGAGGAGTTTGTTATAATACAGTTTGGGGAGTCTGTTATAATACATTTTAACAGTTGTGTCTTTTCGGATATGATGCATTGAAAAAGCTGCGCATGCGCAGAAGTGAAATGCGTCATATCCGAAAAGACATATACTACTGACTCCCTATACTAGAATCTGCAGACCCAACTACAATATGCAGACCCGCTATACTAGAATCTGCAGACCCAACTACAATCTACAGATCCAACTACAATCTGCAAATCCCCTATACTAGAATCCCCAGACCCCTATACTATATCCACAGACCCAACTAGAATCCGCAGATA